TCTCCTACCCCACTATGCCTCACCTATCTTGCAGAGATGGTTGAGGTTCTTCTGGAGGGAAAGATGGTGCAAGCCCGTAGGGCTTGCCGGACCCAACCAATGCTTTGGAAGTGGCTGTGTTCCCTTGGGGACATTGCAAAAGAGAGTCAGACAAGTTGCGAAGCTCTGACATTTCATAACAATGTCAAACCAGGGAAATATAATACCCAGGGTAACTTGGGATGCAAGGGAATATTCTTCAACATCTGGTGGAGCACATGCAGCAATTCTGGTGGCACAGAGAGCTCTGTGTCCTCAAGAACCCTCTTACATTACAACATGTTGGTATTGCTGCTCAGAGGGAAACTGAGCCCAGGTGGAGGGCAGAGACAAGGGCCAGGGGGCTGTTCCAGGAAACAGGTGGGCAGAGTTCGAGGGTCCCAAATCTGTCACACAGTTCTACCCTAGACCCCAGGCCTCTGTTTCACCGCAGGTGCAGACCAGACTGCTTTGGTTATTTGTGGAGATGATTTATAGGGGGTTTACATTGATGCAGCAATGCAGGAAGCAAAAGGATACTGATTTCTGGGAGTAACCAGCTCTTTGTGAGGAGGAAGATTACAGCCCAGCATCTACTGGGCCCTGTAGTTGCAAAGGCAAGCTCAGGGGAAGACTGGAAGAGATAAACCCCAGTACACTCCTGTCTCCAGGGAAGATAATGGGGTCCACCTTTGAACCAGCCAAGAGGTACAGGCAAGTCTTGGCCATACCAAGGTCAGCAACCAGCTTCAACTGGACTGAAGAAATCAGCTCCAGTGCTCAGGCAATTCAGGGCTCCAAAGATGACTTTGAGAGAAGCCACCACTTATGGTGGACCCTGGTCAGAGGAAAGTCACAACCACTTGCTTTCGAAAGACTGACTTCTCAGAAAATTCCAGCTGGTGCCTTCCAGAGGACCCAAAACTGTATTTCAGGCAACTGCAGTGCCTGTGAGTACATCAGGCCTTGAAGTACTGCTGGAGCAGTGAGTAAAACAGCAAGACTGCCCAAGTGCCAGCATGAGACTTTGAGCCAGCTGCAGAAACAAAGCCCTAAGTGTCTTTGCATTCCAGAAAGTACGAGAAATGAGATACGTGTGAATATGCTCCACAAAGTTTGTCCTGGATCTTTGGAGAGAACACCTTATTAGAGCTGCTGGTAGCATTACACTGGCTCAGAAACAGTTTTTTTTTTCACATGTCTCTTGAAAATAAGGCCTTTCTAATTTTATTACAGAACATCCACTTGCATGGGACAAGTTGAGCATATGTGACACCCACTGCCATGAAGCTCCTTCGTTTTATCCCTCTCATTAATGAAAAATGAGAGCAGGAGCCCTTGCCCTTCCCTCTGCTGCCCACAATGTCCTGGTGTAAAGCCACAGGCAGATTTCCTGGAACTTCTGTATATGGTTTAAGACAGCATCCTGAGCCCTGTGTGTGCATTGAGGTGTGTGAATGCATTCCTGTGAGCACAGACATAGAACAGACCTAATTGTTATCCTCAGCAAGAACATGGCTGAGAGGATTTGCCTCTGTTTAACCAGGTAGTGATTAACACCTGGTGAGAAGATCTAACAGCCATAATATCTCATTAAGGTACTTTGATGGACAATAACCTCTTCAAATATGCATGGGAGAGAGAGAGGACCAGCTTTGGAAAGGGCACAGAGCATTTGTAAACTGGTCATCCCTGGTTTTCAAACTCCTTAACCCTGCTCAGGGAGATGCAAAGGTCTCTGGGCTGGTATGAAATACTCAGCAGAGCGTGGTGATGTGTAAAGCAAGCTGCAGCACTTAGCTTTGCTTTTGTGCAGCATCGCAGCTTCTCGCTTCTTACTTCTCCAGCCCACTTTGGAGGGACTATCAGTTGTAGCCCCCAGGAATCCTCTGCAGACCTATGCAGAAATCTGATAATATGTACCTTCCACCCCAAAGTACCTGCCATAAGAGTAGAAGATGAGGCAGAAAGAGTCAGATCATTATGGACAGCTTAAACACTGTTAAGTTATACAGGAGACTTCCAAAAATGCCAGGGCCACTGGATTCAGGGAACCACAGCTGGAGATGAGGAGCCCCAGGCATGAGGCATTAGCAAAAGCTTTAGCAAAAGCAAAGGTCTAGGAATTTGAACTGGTGTAGGACAATCATTTTGGAGACGGCAAGGCACCATTTCTTCCCAAGCTGATTTTTTTAATATGCACAAATTTACTTCATGGTCACCCCAGCCAGCTAAACTGAAATGCTCTGTACCTCGGTCTTACCCCTAGTGATGACAAAAGGGCACATGGAGCACACACAAATGCTGTGGGATGGATTGTTCCTCTGGAGGTCACCTGGAATGACCCAGCTTGCACAGCAGAGCCTACAGACACTCAAAAACACATGAACTGGCCTCAGGAAAACAAGCCTCACCTTCAGATGACCTGAACTTTAAAAGTGGCTGTGACAGAAGCCAGTGTGGATTGCATGTGTTGGACTCATTTCTAATTGGCCTTTTCTTTAATGCAAATGTGTTTTCAAGAGCTACATGTCATTATTATCTGTTGTGGATGGGCACGACGTTTTGGAAATCACAGCTTGACTTTAAACCTTTTCCCAGGGAGAGCCTTTCATCATTTGCTTTATTGGGGAGCCCCCCCTCCCAGTTTGGCCCAGCCTTTGTGCTGAGCTTTGACTACTTGGCAGGGCTTAGCCCAGCTCTGCAGTCCATGGCTTGCTTGGGGTGAGGGGATCAGGGGAACAAGAAGCAAGGGTGAGGCAGCATCTTAGCTTCTCCTTAGCTCAACTGGCTTGGGGAGTGGTGATCCTTTGGCTGGCTGTGGCACATTTGGCTCCCTCCCAACTCCAGCTGTCACACTGCAGGTGGCATCTCCAAGGGGACTCCTGGGTCAGCAGCTTTTTGTGGAGTTTCTCCTTGGGCAAAGGGAGCCAAATGTCCCTCAGAACTTGGGGCGATGAGGACAGCCCTGTTCAAGCCTTTGTTCCTTGATAATTCTGCTGCTCTGGATTTGTGTGCTGCAATCCTGCCTCTGGCACTTGGCCGGGGCGCTGATGCCTGGGAGAAATATCAGTGTAAATGCGATTATGTGGGAGTGAGTGCCTGTACATCTCTGGCAACCCAACCATGCCAATCCCGCTCTAGTTCCAGGGCAAAGATGGCAGTGGGGGGAAAAAATCCCAGTTTTTTTGAGTCCCATGCAGTGCTGTGTGTCCCTGGCCCTAGGAGAAGCAGCAGGAAAGACTGTGTCACCACAAAGCTGCAGCCCAGACCTCGCCTGTTCCACGCCTGGCGTTGTGTGTGCTCTTTGACTTGTCACCGTCATCCGGGCTGTGCTGCTTTCTGGCAAGGAGAGGAACAAGAGCAGGCAATGTTTCACAGAGGATGGTGTCTGGCCATGGAAAAGCTGTGCAACATGACTCATTTTGTGTAAAGGACATGAAATTACAACTGCGTGCCACATGAGAGATGCTAGCTGAGCTCGAATCAAAAAACATCCTCATCCAGGAAGGGTATTCAAGCATGTGCTTAATTTAAGAACATACTTAATCAGGGCCTTTGGGCATAAAAGGGTAATGATTATTCTTGTGTTGCTGGGAAAATCCAAGTGACATCCGGAAGATGTATTACTTGAGAAAATTTAGTGTTATTTCAGTGTCCTCGTTTAATCTTTCAATTTCCAAAAATGTAATTCTTTTAATTTGTCATTGCTATGAGTTCCTTCACAGCTGTTTTACACTCGATTGTTAATGCCAAGTGGAATCAGCAAACACAATCTGGTTCAGATAATAAGTATGGAAGATCATATGCAAGAAGCCAAGGAGAGGCTCCCTGTCTCAGTGTGACCTGGATAGATGGCAAATAATGTCTTTGTTTCCCTTGGAAAAACTGTGTGGCACAGCTACTCCAGACCCAGCAGCTGAGAGAAGGCAACTCTGCTCTATGTTGACCACATTTCATGGTTTCATACCCAAATCTTTCTGTCACTGCACAGAAGATGTCCCCTGAGCTGGCCTAGACTTCTCCCGCCCCAAGTCATCTGGGAACCAACTGGAATTTTCAAAAGGGGTGCAGGGATCTGGGATTTGAGGGGACATCCATGTATGCCCTGTAGGAGATATTCCCCCTGCTGGCCTTGGGCATGGCCTCGTTTTTTGTTACTTGCTGTACAGTAAAGACATTTAGGCACCTGTTTTACCAGAGATTCTCCAGCCTAGAGATAAACAAGGGTTGTTATTGGCCATAGAGTAAGTTCTTGTTAATTTTATTGACCTTGGGTTAAATCCTATTCATCCTCTTCAGGCAATTGCTCCCACTGAAATGAATATGAGTGTTGGCATGAATAAAGCAGTTGGATTTTGGCCCCTTTGAGAAGACAGCAATCATAAGTCCAGCTGCCAGCACAAATCCAGGTATTAAACCAGGGATTTTCTTGGGAAAATCTACAGTAAAGATCCTTGGGATAGAACCAGGGAAATGGATGGGCATAATGGAAAAGAAAATTATAACTTAATTTCACTCTAATTGTTATTAGGATAGATGTTGAAATGGCCATCATTTAAACATGCCCTCAGCTTTGCCACTGCTTCCTGGTTTGACCTTGGTGATGATCCTTGAACACCCTGTCCTTCTCAAAGCTGTGGTTAAATATAACAGAGTGTGGTTTTGAGAGGCAAGATACACCCGTGAGTGCAAGTTATTGTAAGGATATTTTAAAAAGTGAATGATAGTGACAAAACATCTTAGTGGGAAACTGTGAAAACATGGTACTCTATGCAACATGACTAGAGGAGGAGGATTTTTTTTCCATTTTTTTTCACCTTTTGTTTATTTTCCTCTTCCTTTTTTGAACAATGTATCTTAATCTCTCTCTATGGATGTAGCATGAGAGTTATGTGTGCAGAAAGCATCTGAAACCACTTTGTTTCTAGTTTTCTTTCATCCGTTTGGTGTTATAAATAACCAAAGAGGATATTGCTTAATCCATAAAACAAAGTGACATCATAATTTATTAATACAGAAGACACAGTTCATTGCTATTAAATGCCATAAAGAGCTGGAAATGGAGTAGTTTCTCAGAAGGCAGTGCCAGTGTGTCAAAGGAAATATTTCCTCAATGCTATACCAGCATCTGTAAGATCAGCCAATCCCAGCTGAGCTGCTCTGCCACATCCAAAGGCAATTTTGGTGGGGATTTCTCCAGTCCCTGGTGTCTTCTTTCCACCTGCTCTCCTCCCAATGCTTTGCTCCTGCTGTCTGCTTCTGTGGGAAAGGAAAAAAACTGCAACAACCCCGTGATGGGGACATTTAAGGGGACATAAATTGCTGGACCATTTAAGGTTCTCTCATGGGTGTCTGTGGGGCAGCAGCAGAAGCCCACGTGTGCTCAGGGTGTCCCCGTGCCAGCAGGGACACAGAGCTGCATGCACAGGGGAGCGATGCCGTACATCAGGCTGTACGCACTCGGCCCCGGGCCAGCAAAGCATTTAAGCACCTGTTTACCCCTAAGCTTTTGAGTAATTCCTCTGGCCTGAGCTAAGCACAAGCTTCCCACAGCCTCCCTGCTTGCCTCGGTCTCCCCTTGCAGGATTTGTGCATCGTGGCCTGGCTGAACTCGGGGCTGCTGGCACAGCACGGCACCACTCAGCGCCCACCTCTTCTTGCTCCCTCCCCTTCACAGAGCCAGCATTCATTCTCTGCAGATCCCAGTCCTGCTGGCACCTCCATGGGTGAGCCCCTCCAGTGTCTGAGAGGCTCTGCCAGGGCTCCCAGCACTGGATTCGGCCACAGAGCAGTTTTTAAGCATTTCAGGAGAAATTTCACCATTTCTGTTGCTGTGCTGTCTCCAAGCACCGGCCTGAGCCCACATATGGACCAAGCGCAGTGACCACACGTCCACAATAAGACATCCCTCTGTCTTTTAGGTAACATAAACAGTCTTTCTGGTATGGATAGCTTGCAGCCCTGGAAACACACTCTGCAGATGTTTGCTCCATGCCCTACCACTGCCTGCCCAGAAGCACCAGTCCTCACTGCTGGTCCCTGTCTGCTTCATCATAAAAACATGTCTAGCCGTGCTTTTGCAACTGTTGGGAAGAGACAGGATCCCTTTTGGCTCCCATGGACATTAACTTGTATTCTCATTTGTACTTACTTCGTACTTTCTGTATACGCCATCAGCTCCCTCCCCCTGGTGCGCAGGTGTTTAAAGGGGTCCAGCGGGCGTGTGGAATGGGCACGGCGCTGCGCGGGTGCCCCCAGCCAGGCTCTGCCGGCGGTAACCCCCAGGGGAGCCACGGTGCCGTGAGCTCCCGGCTGCCTGCTCCCCGCACAGGCACTGCAGCGTTCCCGGCTCCCTGGCGAAACACATTTCCCTGCTGTTCACCGGCGGAGCTCCTGCCCCGAGCCCCAAAGGTGCGCTCCCACCTGCGGAGCCGGCAGAGCGGCGCGCACCGCCGGCGCCTTGCGCGTTGGCAGTGCGCTACCCCCCTTGCATCCCCCCCCTTCTCCGGGCTATATGTGGCATTTCGAAGCTCTGACAATCTGCTTCCAAATGTTTTCCATATTTGTTCAGCCTCCTTGATTCAAATACCAGGAACAAGTCAGCCGGCACGAAGCGAAGCTTTGGGGGGCAGAAAGCTCACACCCCCATCGGCGTGCGCACACACACACGCACGTGAAAGCCCAAAGCCCGCCGGCATGGGAAAGGAGCAGAAGAAAGCCCGGCACGGCACGTCCCCGAATACCCAGAGCCAGACGGGGAAGGCACCCGGAGGGGAGAAAAGCACCGACTCGACGCAGGAGTCCGCGATGAAGAAGAAGCAGAAGAAAGCCAAGGGGGATCCCAAAACTGGCCAGGAGGAGGAATCCCACACTTGTTGTGGCTGCCGGTTCCCGCTGCTGTTTGCGTTGCTGCAGCTGGCGTTAGGCACCTCTGTAACAGTGCTGGGCTTCCTTATGGCAGGCATCAGTTCCTCTCTGCTAGTCAGAGACACTCCATATTGGGCTGGGATAATTGTAAGCATAAAGTCTGTTTCTCCATAAAGTGCCTTTGCCAGCATTAATGCAAGCTGCATGACGCTCCACTTTAGACTAACCAACTGCATGCACAACACCATTTGAGTTATGCTAACTATAAATATTCCTGGGATTAAGTGTCTGGCTATATTTTCCCAAGGAAAACTGCTCCTGCAGAATAACACAGCCTTTCGTATTCTTCCCTGCAGTACCCAACAGACCTGAAATAAAATACAGGGTTGCTGTTCACTGGATGTATTAGCTTGTGCTTTGCAGTGAACTCCTGCCTGGTGATGCTGAAAAAAAAAAAGTTAATTTCTTGTGCTGCCTACCCTCTTTGCCCACCAAACCACAGCCATCAGGTTTTGGAAAGTGAGAGAATAATTCTGTAACTCTCGACTTTTAGCTGGGCGAGGAGAGCAATGTCTGTCTGCGGAGCCTCCTCGCTGTGCTGTGCTGGAGAACCGCTGGGATTTAACCCTCCTCCAGCTGCTGCTCCTCACTGCACGGGGCCATGGGGAAGGGAATGGCGCTGGTGGATGTGGCAGGGACGGGGAGCCCTTCCCAGGGCCTGCTGGTGGCTCCTGCCAAGTCACTTTGGAGTGACACGCCAGCCTCGCCGCGTGGGCTGCGGGGACCGGGCAGAGGGCAGCGTCCTGCCGGGTGTGAATCAGAGACATCCCTGCTGGGGAAGCCTGGGTGGTTCCTCAGCAGCAACCACCCCTGCAGAGGTGGGGACAGGGTGTCTGGTGCCGTGGCGTGACTCTGCTGGCCGTGGGCTTGGGGACGTGAGGTTTGCCTCTGGGAGGACAGGGTCAGTGATTATGAGCCTGCGATAGGCCATGGATATAATGGAGCGTGCAGGTTTCTTCCCTAGGCAGCAGCTTTCAGGAAAATACATCCTGAAAATATGCCCTGATGTGTTAGCACAGTCCTGGGTGTTGTCAGACTATAAGAATTCCCAGCAAATAAATTGTGTTTAGGTACTTGGAGAAAATATTTCTCGAAGTCCTGAACAGCTATGGGAGCATCTTCTGTAAATGTAATTCATGGCTGGAAGATTATCTGAGCATCTGAACTGATTGGGATTTGCTGTGTTAATCTTGCTGGGCATCTCTTCAGAGGGTGGAAGGAGCAGGGCCTAAGCTCCCAGAAGAAGAGCTCCTCTGACTCATCTCTTCATGTTTCTCTTCTGACTGAAGAGGTATCCAAAAGTTTAGTGGTGTTTTGTGGAGCAAAAGCCTGCCCTTGCTTGGAAGAGGAATTTCCTCCTGGGAAGTTTTGGCTTTTACAAACTAGAGGGGAATACAGATTATAAAATAGCAGTATGTGGCATGTTCACTCCTCCTGTTTATTTTGAGGATTCTGGAGGTCAGATTATGTCTTTTCCAGACAGCACTGTTGCTCTCACAGGTTTGAAATAGCTTTTTCACTGGAAAAAGGTGGGGCAAGAGTGAGCTGGACTGAAATAATGTACAGCCAGGGATATGAGAAAAGCCATGAAGCAGTCCCTGGCCTGTGTGAATGTCATCAGTGCCCCAGCAGCAATCATCTGAGATCCACAAATTGCTGGCCTCCCCTGGGGAGGCCTGAAACCCCACCAAAGTTGCTGCTTTCTGAAAACAGAGCTCTAACCCCTGTTGTTTTTAGCAGCAGCTGCCAGCAGTAGTGACATTTAGATGCCCACACGAGGCCAAGCTCAGTCACTTTCAGAGCTCCCCCCTGAAAATCAGGAATAATTCTCCATGGGTGTTCCTGAGCTAATTCCTGACTCGGAGCAAGACTCAGCTCTCAGCTGTGGTTGGTGGCCATGCTCTGCACTCGGCAGCCAGGGTAATCCCTGGGGAAACATTTCCTGGGGAAACATTTCCTGGGACTGTGGGAGTTTTGGTTTGTGCTGCAGGGTGTCCTGGCTGTGCAGAGGAGCAGTGCAGGCTGTGGCTGTCCCCTGGGGAAGGGTGACTGCACCTAGGCTCTGAGTCAGATGGTGACTCTCACCTGGGGGACTCTGGTGAGATGTTGAGTCACCAGCACACTCCAGCGTGGTTTGATTCCTCCCTGGCTCAAATTGGCTTTTGGTGCTCTCTGTTAACACTCAGGGTGATGACAGGGACTGTTTGCTGTGGGGGCACGTGGCCAGGCAGGCTCCCGGGCAGCCACGCTGCTCTCCTGTGCCCTCAGCCCAAAGCAGAAGGGAAGGAGGGATCTGGCAGCAGGTCAGAGGGAAGTGAAAAAGGAAACTGGTGCTAGACAGGAGAGGGTGAAGAGGTGGGGCAGCCCCAGACCTCCCAGCAGAAGAGCCTGTCTGAAGCCCTGGCTGTGGTGCCACGAGAGTGGGGCAGAATGCAGCAGATGCCACACTGTGCTGCATCCACCTTCCTCCTGTGCTCTGCTGTCTCCATGGAGGGACTTGGTGCCCACTGGGACATCAGGTGGAGATAGCCAGAAGCTGCTGAGCTGGAAATTCCAGGTGTGCAGTCAAAGGGTGCTGCTGGTGAGCTGTGGTGGGGACTCTGCCAAGGACTGGCCTCTGGAGATCTGGGGAAAACTGGTCCATGAAGGAGAACCCTTAGTTAGGACCTGCATGTGGCTGGAGGTCCTGTGGGCTGGTTTTTGGGCTGCATGGAAGGTGTTAGATAGGGGATGGATGTGCTGCTCAAGAACAAACCTCGTGGCAGAAAGTGGCTTTCCAAAACTCACATATTCACACAGAAATGAGCAACAGGACAGAAAGATGTGGTGTAAAATACCAGAGCATATTTGTTTTAGTAGCATCCCACTCAAGTGCTCTTTTTAAAGGACTTAATAGATTTTTTAAGTTCTTGATTCAGAATACTAATCATCGAGACCTTTTTAGCAACATTAGATATAATGGGTGAAGCTCATTCCTGGTGTTACTCCTTTGGAATAACACCAGGCTGCATTTGACCCCACGGCTGTTAATGCAGGATGACAGAAAAATTAAGGGAAATTGCTAATGTGTTAAATAGACCCTGATTGATTGAAAGCTGTTTTTTTTATTTTCCTTCTTTATTAGTGGCAAAATGGTGACACCATTCCTTGCTGAAAATCAAGTGCTCCAGTGCATTACCATGAATGGAAAGGAACTCTTTTTTGAGGAGCATCCAGTGGAAGATGCTAGCAAGGAAAACCAGGCAAGGCAGTCTTAAATTAAATGGGAATTCAGAATTCCCATTTCAGCATTCAGAATTAAATGGGTTCAAAACCTGACTGTGTAGGTTTGTGAGGCTGAAGCAGGCCAAGGATTGGGTTCACCATCCTGGGGAATAAATGTGGCCAGTGATCCTCTGACAGGGAGTGGAGGAGGGCTCCAAGCCTGCAGGGTTCCCTACCCAGAGCATCAGCCCTTCCCTCCTGAGCCCCTGCAGAAGGAAATGATGCAACTTGCATTGCACCAAGAGCATTTCACCACGAAAACCAGTAAAAACTCAGTTAAAACCAAAATGAATTTAGTCAAAAAAATGAGTGGGGAGTAAGGCATGGGTTGGAAACCAAAGGAAAATTTTATGGACAGAAACCACAGAGCCTATGGGATTTATCACTTCTGCTTCGGCTTCAGCAACCTATTCCCTGTGAAAAGCCTCTCCCCCACTGCTAAGGACAGGCAGAGAAAGGCAGTAAAAGCAGTGAAGGTGCCTGTGAGACCTGTCCTGAGCTCCCCAAACCACAGGCTGGACACCCTGGCAGTCTCTTCCTTCTTACTGCTTAGCAGGAGTTTGGACAAACTCTTCACAAACCCAGTCATGAGTGCAGGGCTTTATTTTTTCCTGTGTCTTGTCATGGGATTGGTGCATAGCTTTGGGCAAGTTACTTAACCTTGCTAAGACTTTGTTATTTCCCCTGCAAAGTGGGGTTAATAGTGGCCATCCGTCACCCCTTGGGTTGAGATCCTGGGATGAAAAGTGTTTGAGACAGTAGGTATTAATGGTATCCTTTTCATTCTTTTTCATTAGCTTGTGGCCTTTTGACACCCAGAAGAAGTAACGATGTATTTCTCCTTGAAAAACCTACTTTAGATTATTTCCACTGTGATCAAAAGTGGATAGTATCAGAGTTTTCATGGGCATGCTCCCTTTACAGCCCTGTTTTGCAGACTCAGGGAGTTAAGAAAGTTACAGAAGTGCTCATCAGAAATGATTATCCAGGGTGTTTATTATTTCTGTCAGGAAGTTATTTTAAATGTATATGTATAGGTGTTCATAAAATTAGGACTTTAAAATAAATTTTAAAAAATCTGATTCACGAGCTGCTCAACGCAGCAACTGTGGCTCCAGCTGTCACTGATTCTATAGCAAAAAGCATCCCAAAAGTTTTGCCATGGGCTGAGCCCTCAGCCCAGAAGCTCTGACACTTCTCCCTGCTCCAGCCCTTCTCCATCTCCCCAGGTGTTCCCCAGGCCAGAAGGTCCCTGAGC